TGTTTAATGGATACGCGTTTTATATAAAAAATGATTAAGCCAATTTCTTAGTGCATAGATACATATTATTCTTTTAAAATTTAAAAACAAAAACATATTCATTTATGCAAATACATCGTCCATTTTTCAATGTTCAGAGATGGAATTTTATGTTATGTTTTTATATTTATATTTTTCCTCATAGATTCATTAGAATTTCTGAATATTTTATAAGCAAAAGAATATTTTGAAACATTCGAGCAATTTGAAAAAGAAATCAAGAGTCCAGAGAATCAGAAAAAAGCAGATAGAAGTCCATAACATTCGGAAACTGCAAGGAGCAATTCTATAAAACTGGATCAACGTGTTCGAACCGATCCATGTGACTGTTGGCATCGTCAAATCAGTTGCAGAAAACAAAAAATTAGCAGAGAAACGACAATCCTGAACTTTCAGCAACAATTTTCAAAGTCAAAAATAGCAATTCTTACGCATCTTTATGCAAAAATTAACATCTGCCACCCTCCAGTAGATAATTAAATGAGAATCCTTATCTCTTGATAGATTTGTCATCATGAACATTAAACTCGGGAATATAAGATTTAAGTGTTCCATTAATTGCTAAAACCGGATGTGTGACATAAGAAAGAAGGAAAATCCCCTAAAATACGGCAATAACTAGTGCCACTGATGTATAATGACGTCATTAATAACCCAAAGGAATCGGATTCCGGTTGAACAAGTATGTAGTTTTAAGGATTAACCCGAGACGCCATTTGCTGATGACAAATAGCTTAATTGCTCTTGCAAATCATTGATGTCAGGTGACTGGCCAAATTCAAGGTCCCCCTTTTTACGTTCGGAAATTGGCAATAAGAGTTAAAAAACGTTTCGAATTTATAAAATGTTAACTTTTCTACTTGATTTAAACAACGCTTACCATATACAAATACCATATATATATATATAATCGTTTTTTCTTTTTAATGAAATAAGGTCAATGCGTTTTACTGTATAAACATGCGCATATTAATTCCTTTCCGTTCCGCAAAATTATAGTGAGTGAGTGAATTGTACTGTACATGTTTGACATCAGACGTACTGTACACCCGTTCTTTGTTAGCAAAAGTGTGACATCGATTCTGTGTCACGGCGTACATTATCCAGATCGAAACGAACGGGTTTCGGGTTATTTCACGAAAATGATTCCGTTCGTGACAACGAGTTTTCCATTTTTTTTATGGGAATTTAGCCAAAAACAAACAGTTTTAGATGTTTATTATTTAAGTTTAGAAGTTTATTAATAAAATACTTTAGATATCAGAGTCAAATGTATAATAAAACAGAATTTTTACGATATTTTTATACAACAAATCAACACATTTGATTTAAAAGTGTAAATGTGAGACGACCAATCAGGAGACTTCCCCCCAGTTTCGATAATCAACAACTGTATGGAAGATGTCACCTCGTTTCGGTCCACTTGGTAACATTCGAATTATCAAACTTATGAAAAAATAGTAAACCAGTTCCATAAGAAATGAATATTTCCCCCAAAATATTTTAACAAATCAATGCAAATTCAAATTATTCACGTATATCACGGTTAAAACTTCCCTACAACGCGAAACATTCCCAAGAGTGTCATTGTGATATATTAAAAATTAATCATTCGTTATCACGCCCGGAGTTCTCGTATTAAAAAATTCATCAACCATTGAACGTTACGCGGAAAAGTAATTTACGATTAAGAAATTTCTAGAGATCAGCATCAAGAAAAATATCATAATTTTAATATAGAATTCCACTTATATATATATATACGGATATTATAGAGCGTAAGAAAGATATGTATTAACAAAAATTATATATATATATATATAATTTTTGTTAATACATATCTTTCTTACGCTCTATAAAATCCGTAAACAATAGCAAAATGTAATTATATTAGCATTTTTGGAACAATTTCTGTATTTTCCGTTACGATGATTACGTTAATGTACGCTAAAGGTCATCGACTTAACTTCAATATCACCTTAGAAACAACAAATGAATCGAAGATGAAGGAAGGATCACTCACATAGTATTCTGACGAATCACTCACTAAACATTCAACTATCAAACTTATAATCGTCACGATGATTATATACGAGAGCAATGCCTTAAAAAACGAACGCGCAAAGAGAGGGCAGTGTCCTGAAATAGGCGTTTGTTCACCGTATCTTTGTATGTATATATATGTATAATTTTTCAAACCATTGCATATCCGTTTAACGGCCTTTTCTCGTCACGAAACGTTTACCATCTAGAAACAAGCGAATTCTTACAAAAGAAAAGAAAGCAAGAGGGATGTACGTGTAAGCATAAAGTTTTGATTCTAAATCTGGCACCTGTCAAACTGCAATAGTAGTAGGTTAGTGGTTCTTCGTTGGCTCCTTTCCAAAAACTAGTTCTACCAACACGAAGTTTCTTACACTTCGAATCGTAAAACCCGAGCAAAAAAAATCAAGTTATAATAATGATAAGGAAGTCCAAATTCGTATTTTTCAACGAAAATTAGATATCTAAAAATATAGAAGAAAGCATTTCAAGACGGAAAAAAAGCAATAAAACGTAGTCAAAGCGTCTCGTTAAACTTTATAAAACTTCTACGCTTGACGATAAAACTTCTAAAAATAGATATTCAAAAATAATTAGTATTGTTTCATTACAAGAAAAACTATTTCGTAGATTAAAAACTAGCATAAAAATCATAATAATATTTGCGCTTGTAAATTATTAATTTCTTCAAATAAATTTTAATACAAAGCTTATCAGACGATATATCGAATTATTTATTATTTTGATAATACACACCACCTTAAAAAATAGCACGATAAAAATGTAAAGCAAGCAAAAAAGGGGAGAATAAGATAAGAAGTTTATAAATATGAATAAACGAAGTGCATCGTTATAATTTTACGAAGTAATATTTAAAAGAGCTTTCTTCTCGGACGAAACTTCAAAAAATAGCCCATCTGGCTTTAATCCAAGACGATGCTGCCAATACTAGAAGGGGGGACTAAGTCATTAGGTCGACAACTAATATACTGGTTGAGATAATTAATTCGTTTATCGAAATGAGAAGTTTAAACTTTTTACTAAATTAGTTAAGTTTTTTTCAAAACTACAATTCTTCACTAATTTAAGTTCCTAATCTAAAATTATTATTAGAAAGCCGTAATAAGTGGTTTACAATCTATCAATAGTTTGAAAGACCAACCTTATCACTTTGGTAGTGATAATAAATCAATCTAGAGTAGGAATTATTTTTAATTATAAAATAAACTATTTTTAAATTGAGGAGTGCGGTATCCCGCGAGTAGAATTCATCCGTCTACCTGTTGCTTTCCGGTCTTTACACGCCATTACATTTTTGGGTGTTGAAGAAAGTAAGGAAACGTGATCCCAACGAGTAGCGCGTGACGCAGATGGTAGTCACGCGCAAGAAAAATAAAAAAATAACAACCCATTTTATGATATTGCAATCGATACGTCCGCAATAACATAACTACAAAGAAGAATACAACTTATCCAACGATTAGATATCGTTCGTGGGCTTAAAAAATAATCTTTCGTAGCTTGGCACTTTAAATTTTATTATCGACTTCGTGAGTTAAACATGATAAGAACGTCTTTTCAAAAAATCGATAATGCAAATAAAAGGTGTGAATTATAAATATGCACCGCGCGGTTCGATATTTAAAATATTTTATTTTGTTAAATATCATATGACTTTTTCTAACAGTTCAAAATAATAATGATAAATATTTACTCAACTATGTCCATAAAAAATGTTTCACTACCCAACACCTGTATAAAGAGAAATATTTGGAAACAAAATCATTTATACATACAAAAAAAATGGTGTTCTACCGTTTTTTTTTAAATCATCTCTACACTATTTCTCTATTGACATTCTACTTTTCGTATTAAGTTATCAACATATATAAAACATGAACAGTTATTGATAAGATATTTTATCTTCGAATATAATCAAGCATCATGTTTTCCTCCCTCATCGAAATGAATAGCAGTGTCGAGAATCCGCACCACTCTCATCAATTTAAGATGAAAACAGCTCGTTAAAAACTAACGAATTTCATTTTTTTATAATATGCAGGGTATTTTTTATATAAAATTTCGTTACTGCATCCATATAGTTAATTTACACTTTAAAAATTATGGATGTTTATTACTATATAGTAGTCGAAAATGTTAAAATATAATACAAACATAAGCTAAGTCGGCAATTGAGAGACGACATTCGACCTATTCTAGATCAATAGAGAGAATATATCTCACATATACACAGAAATTGGATATGATAAAAGATGCACTTCAATATATTGTACAGTTCCTTAAAATATTCCTCCATTTCGTGAATTTTCTATCGAAAGAATCGTGAGGAAACATCGTTATTTTTAATAATGCATTTCATAAACATTTTAATGTCGCAAAGAAATTGAATTTTAAAAGTGTGCTTCGATTATATTTACGATAATAACCATACACAATATTAAACTATATTTAATAAACTAGATCTATCGCTCGTTATAGAAAACATTTTTAACAGATAAATTAGAAAACCGTTTATTCTATAACAAGAACTAAACTGAAAGATAAGGTTATCTTTTCCTATTGTCTTCTATGAATGTTACATATACCGTATCTTATATTAGTTTCGTCACTGAATGCAGTTTATAAATATATTTAAATAAATAAAAAAACTATTTTAAATTACTTTTTATATAATTTATATTTTAAAATGGATTTTAATGATCAAGCGAAATTATTATTATTAAAAATTACGGAAAATGATCGTGGGGAGCTGAATTACACTTTACATCTATATGAATTTATGGAAATTTTCAAGTATCCGAACGGTCCTTCGACAAATATTCCCTTTATTTTTGTATTTGTTATTTATTTTTTTATAAATCTTATTGATTTTATAACGTTTAAAGGGTATAGCTCACCTTCTCCATCTTCGAATCAGTCCATGGCAACTAGAGTAGAAGAGATCCAGTATGGTAAATACAGTGGAGCATTCGCCATGTCGCGATCGATCTAAAATCTTGTGCATATACGCGAGACTAGTCGGCTTCGCAGTCGAAACAGGCCGACTTCCACTAGTTACGGGGGGTGCGCAGTATACTACGGAGGGGACTTTTTAACTGTAGCACACAAACCGGCGAGATTTTTATTATAATAACGATAGTACGCGTTAAATACGAGCGAAGCGCGTGCCGTAATTATTTTTACGACCCTCCTCTTCCCCTTTCCGCGTTTTTATTTATTAATGACACGAGTAACACGATTCATTCGTGAATAATTTATGAATTAAGTGCGTTTAAATTATCCTAAAAATTTCGAGGGAGTGAAAACGTTACTTAAAAGTAGGTGCTATATCAAACCTGAATTTTCGGATTGTACACAAGTTAAGGTTTGCCGTTTCTTAACAGAAAAAACGATGCGCACCTCCTTTGTGAATTTGATAATCGTGAGTTTAAAAGTACAGGTTACGAAACTTTGAATTTATAATTATTCCTTACGAAAGCTTCATTTGAACATATATTGCGTTAGGCTAATTATAATTAAACTTAGCTCACGATGGATGCCAAATAAAATCTTAATTAAAATGTCTGACTTAAAAAGAAAAGTTTACTTGAAGTAAAAATAAGCAAATAGAAAAAATAAATAAATAAATTTTAAACGAAAATCAGACGTTTAGTGACGCGACGATATTCTGATATAATTAATTAGTTATTGCATATATATACTTTCAACGTAATTTCAATGATTAATTGCAAGTTTTCAATAATAATCTATATATAGATGTGTAGAAGTTAATTGTGACAATTGATTACGATTAAAGTAGTAACTTTTTCTACGCTTAATTGAATTCGACGCTAAAATATTGTTTGAAGTGCAAGTAAAATTTTACTTTAAAAATTATTAAAAATTTCGTCCGTAAGATTATTTATTCAAGATAGGTCATTCCATTTAAAGTTAAGTTTTATGTTACAAAGCAGATCTAGATCGTAAACGTGTTAAGGTTACTTTACTTCTATATAAAAAACAGATCGACCTAATCGATTTTTCGCAAAAAATATTTTTGCCATCGATTTTTGGACGAGAAAATTCCGTTTTCCGAGAATTCTTCTATGGCGGAAGTGGAGTCATCCACTTCTTAAGACGTAGACGAATGGCACCGAACATAGAATCAATCGAAATATCTCATCTATGCTGACGAGTGAGATAATTACGTGACAATATCCAAAAAAATTACTCAAACCTATCGAATGAGTGACTTATCCATCTTACCTATGTACAATATGTATAAAAAAAAGTTTAATTACATCAACGGGATTGTCTAACCTCAGTTAGTAGAGGTGATCCATACGCAATTACCAGAAAGCGATACTTCAATTAACAAGATTGGATCTTGCTACACGGAAAGGGCAATAACACGTAAGAGAATACAAAATTTCTTGTAATTTTTCTAAATTTAAAATTTTAAAAACTGCGACTATTTCGATAATAATTAACGATACAAAAAAATAAAAGACGTGCGGTTTAATTAATTTAATTAAAGCAAGTGTAATACAGAATCGTTTCACCTTAGATTCCCTCTTTAAATATGGTATAAAAAAATTATAATAATAAAATTTACAGAAGAGGGTTTAATTTTATATCTAACAATTAAGCGACATGGATAACTGAAAATGAGTATTTACACTAAAATAAAAAATATAAATTTCTCTATCAAAATCCTAAAAAAATTATTTAATGTGCCAATATATTTGATAAAATAAGTTCACAGATAAAAAAAATTCATTAATTTAAGAGGAGGAGGAGGAGGAGACAGGAAAAATGTAAGATAATTAAAAAGAACTTTTAACAAAAATTGAATATAAATTACAACAGTTTATATTATAATAAAAAAATAAGTTTAAAATAAAATAAAGTACATATTACAGTGAACAACAGACAATTCGATCACCTAACAGTAAATATTGTAGCATACATCTCTCGCCTATTAAATATTTACGTCCGATACATTAAGGTCGCATCAGCATGGTGAATTATCATGTTAATGTAAATTTTATAACTGAATGAACTAATAATAACATACACTAAATTACTCTTTTACGAAATTTCGAAAAACATTCTTTACATTTTAACTCGGTATTTTATTTTTATTTCAGAAATTTAAATATAAACTTTTTTTATTTTTTGTTATAATTTAAAATTATTTTTATTGTAAAATATAAATATTGATTTAATTTTTTTTCCTCCCAACATTTTGTGTCAGTAAAATCTTTATAAACAAACATGAATTTAAGTGTATATTTTTATCATCTAAACTGTTATAAGAAAATTATATTTTACAGAGATTAAAAGCAGCTTTAAAAAACATTAAACGAGGTCGAATTTTCTACTTTGGCATAGAGTCATAAATCAGAATTTGTAGAAAATATAGTAGTATCAATTTTTATATACAGCCAATTCAATTTCTATATTTAATAAAGTCCGTCGATAATAGCATATTTAATAATAGAAAACAAGGTTTTGGCTCGATGGGAATATCCAGATCTGTTATGAATAATAAATAGCTTTAAACATCTTAAAACCAGCAAGTAACTTGAATTTACATTTAATGACATTATGCTTTTAAATCACATCGTTTCTTTTAAACATTTTCCTGAATTTTCCTGTTATCTAGTCGCGTGATGCAGCAAATCAGAAAAGAAATTTAATAACTAAAATCTTTGACTTTTCAGTAACTTTTATACGTAATTCTGCTTCTCTTGAATTGATTTAAAATCTTCTCCACTCCAGACAATTTTTTTCTTTTTTGGTAAATTAGGGTCACTCCATTCATCGATCTTTTTATGTCGAGGTAGTAAAGTGAGAAACAACTGGTAATTTTTTTTAAACTACTCTTCAAAAATTTAAGATATTTTCCACACACATTCAATAATAAAAATTAAAAACTTTTTTTTCATTTTTAAAATCAAATTAAATTTAATATACAGTGGATGATCGATTAACGAACAAATCGGATAACGAACACTTTCGCGAAAGATTTTTATGTTCGAACAACGAATACATCACAGAACAAACACAAGCGACGTAAAATAATGAATACCGATTGGTCTTCCCTTATCTTCAGGCAACAATTCGAAACTTTTCGGAGCGCAGGAGACGTCGACATCGACACTCAACCCGGTATATACCGATCGGATAGTATTCCTCAGAGCTTTAAAATTCTCCCTTGTAATTCCAGCCTTTTATTTTTCTGACAGAAAAAATTATTTTATAGTATTCGTTAAGTTTTGCGTTGGTTTTTATTTTCGAATGGTGAGAGTATAATAGCAAAGATAGATGTCTGATGTTGCTGGGCAGTATTGCTCGAACAGATCTACAGCAGGCCGCAGTTCAATCCTATCTAAGAAAGATACAGTATAATCAAGAAGACTCAAGCAGCTAAAGGAGTAACAAAAATCACATCTGAGAAATAAAGAACATTGAAGAGCTCATAATAGAACCTAAAACGGATCTGACGACAGAAAAACGCCAAAAACTCTTGAATGAAGAACACCAAGAAACTCGGCGAGATATGTTTTCTTCTGAAAAAAAGAATTAATGTCGATATCTGCTATTAAACATTTTTTTGAAGAAGTGGGATGATATCAGAACGACGGTCTTAGAATGGCATCCGAACCAGGTTGAGGTTAATAGGCTTAGGGATATCTACAATTACAATGTTATTAATTACGTATGAAAAATCTTGGAGAGAAAAGCAATCGACATTGGACAGATTCTTTAACCCCCACAAACGGAAAAAACATGACTAATAAAAATGCAAGATTGCATATATATGTATTTTTACTATTACATATAAATAAAGGTAATAAATAAAAAATATAAAAATAAAAAGGTCCAAAAAGTAAAGTATATATTTTTTTATTTTTTGGAGTCTCCGGAACGAATTAATCAAATTCCCATAAAAACTTATGGTAAATCGATAATCAGTTAACGAACAAAGTCTTGGAACGGATTATATTCGTTAACGGATCACCCACTGTACATTATTAACTAACTTAAAATATATTAAATTTATTATTATATCTTGAATGTTAATTATATGAAAATTATAAATAAGCATTATTATATTTATGCTTTTAGAATTCAAAAATTGGATTAAAAAAAACAAGATGCATGCCGAAAAGCCACTTTACAGAGTGTACTATAGAAAAATTTTAAATCCTATAGCGTAAATAAGTTAAATAATCCTAAAAGTCTATTTCAATATTTTTAGTTAAGTAGACTCATTTATAAGATGAAACGCTATCAAATTCCGTTTTGATTTTCCCTTCCATCTGATAGCGTGAAACTATTCTTTAATGTAAATACAAGAGCTACTTATTCCTTCACGTCCTACTTAATTCTGTAATTGTTTTGACTAGAATGTCTGTAATTATTTTGAAGTATTATAGGCGAAATTCGGCATACAATTTTACACGATTTTGGATATTTTTGCGATTTAAAAAAAAAAAACATTCTTGTAAACATTTTCGTGTATCTGATCTAAAACATACAAAAATGTCATATTAAAAGACATTAAGTTTGTAACTTTATATTCTATTTTATAGAAAGAAATAGAAACTTCAAAATCTGGAATAATTCAGAGAAAAATAGAATTATGGAAAAATATTTGTGTCATTAAGAATTAAAAGAGGAGATGAGATCGACGTCCATGAAATAATAAAACTCAATTTTCTACATAAACAGGTTGTGACTGTAAGACTTAATTATAAATAATAACCGATTTCACGTAGATATTATTCACATTAACGAAGCAAATCTAATCACACAAGTTCTAAAAATACAGCAAGTTCGCAGCATAATAGATAAGAGAATACAATATTAATATGTTAAGATTTTTCGTACAAAATATTTAGAAAAAACTATCGTTAAATAATTAGAGGAGTAAAAAATAAATGTCGTCAAAAAAATAATATATAGAAAGCTTGGTATACATTTTCGTATCTTGTAACTGAAGATAATAGTTTGTTCTCTTTATAAAAATAAGTGAAATTTTTAAAATTTCATGTAAACTTATAATATATAACGTAGTAAAATTCATTCAATGAAATTAGTAGTCATTACACTTTTTAGATAAAA